TTCTACATCCATCATCAGCAGTTTATACTGCAGCCTAGTGTCACATCCATGTTTCTTTTTAACTCCCCAAGGTAGATCCTGCCTGTGTCAGTAGACATTCCATGAGGATAGCTTTTAGACATGCTGACTCTCCCAGCTGCCCCTCCTCTTGTGAGCCTGGTGTCCTTGCCAGCAGGAAAAATGGTGCACTGTTGCAGATGGATAGCATTTGATAGTTGGCCGTTGTTACCTCTAAGAGGGATGCACGGTCAGATTTCAACTTCCTCTCACTGCCTCTCTCTTTGTTGGTTTGACCGGTGTTAGACTGCATTCCACCCAAACAGACTGTAAAGCATTATAATCTATCAATGAGTGATGCACAAGAATTGTTCCCTTCTTAATGTCCCTGCAACTTCATTTCTTTGATTAAAAAAGTAAGTCTTTAGTAAGAAACATTTTTTCTTTCCTTTTCCTCATTCCCTCTATTTTTGCTCATCTTTTAAATGGAGACTGAGTATGTGGGCCAAAGCCATTCACCCAGCCACCCGGACTCCAGGAAAAGTGGCGACTATATTTATAGCTGCTGCCTGCCTGTGCCAAAAATGTGGAACAGTCAGCAAAGGAGTAGGTTTCAGTCTAAACAGGGATTAAGCACATTGATAGTCAGTAGATGTTATGTACCTTGAAGTTTCTGGAGTGCTACTCTTTGATTGAATAGGAATTATTTATGGTCTGCTTGGTATATGCACCATTAAAAGCTACAAAGACAAAAGTTATAGAATAAATGACACAGAGCTTCAAAACTATACTATGAGGTATGTCACAGATGGGTTTGCCCATTTGATCTCTAGATTAAACATGGATTAAGATGGCTTTGGCCTACTGACCATGTGATCTTCTAAGAGGGACACAACTGAACAGATGGTGCATGATACATGCTGTTTAATAATGTCATTTTTATTACTCAGCTAGGTGCCTTCTTTCATTTTACACTGATTGTATTAACTGAAAACGTATGCAAGGAATAGTAACTTCTTGCTAAGGCACGGCAATGTTCCTCATATCTTGCATATCATATTGTGGTTTAAAACTGGTTGAAAGCCTCTCCCAAAGTCGTGATTCCATTTATATCAATAGTTTAAATTTAAATCTTGTAATTGATTTTAGTTCAGTGTATTCCAGTTTTATATTTTCAAAATCTGGTTCATTTTGAAAGAGTTTCCTCCAATTTTATTCATAGGTTGGAATATTAGAATTGAGATTAAAAAAAAAAAATAACCAGGCTCTCCTCGTCGAGTCAGAATTATAGAAGTTGTAAAATTGACCTTGTTTTTTACAGCCTGACCTGAAAATCTAAAATGGCCAAAATTTGTATTTTGTGCAATGACAGTGCAACAGACATAAACATACACACCCTGATGTTTTGACTTTAATGTCCTCTTTGTTGTATTTTTTAATAAAAATGAATTGAACTATTCATTTTATAAGGTGGAATGCTGATAAAACCACAAAAAGCATTTATGAAGACTCAAATTGACACAAAAACAATTATTAATATCAGGGTTCCAACAATTGGATAGAAACTTTTGCAGCCTTTTTGGCCATAAATAATGCTGAATATGCTATTTTTTATGTTAGCTATGCTGCTAATTCCAAACGTAAAATTACCTCACCTTTCTTCTGTTCACTAAATTGTAAGTCTGTATTTGTTTTACGCCACCATATTTTTTAATGTACAGCTTCTTTCGTTTTGTCACTTTGAAGGTTGAATAATCCAAAATTTGATGAAAAATGTTCTTGATTTATAATTTAAGAAAGTATAAATCAAGTAGGATTTGTAGGATTGTTCTTAAAAGGTAATGGAAAATGTTCCTCTTGATTGTTTATTGTCAACTGTATTTTTGAATCTATAGCAACTATTCTTTATTAGGTTCTGTCCTAATTTGACCACATTGGCAACACAAATTGTTTTATAAAATCTTTTTAAAAATGCATGTTAAGATTGAACTGCCTCACTGATGTTTTATCTATTGTTAGTACATCAATTTTGAGATGACCTGTTATAAAGTTGGTGCCGTACAAATAAACTGAACTGAATTTATATTGATTTCTAATCTATCCACCTTTACTTAAATGAGACTCTTTTTATAAATTTCTTTTTACTTAGCACTTCAGTTAAAAAAAAAGCTTAAAAACTGAAGTATTTAAGCTTTTTTCTGTGACTTTGTGTTTTATTTTTTGTCTAGAAAAGTCAATTATTTTTACTCAGTATTACACACCTGCTGTTCGGTAGTACTGCTTCTTAACAGGATGGTCTTTATAGGACAATAACTTAGAAAGATCTGTCCTTATTAACAGTTAATCATAGCCAGACTTGTAGCATGAAACCATCAACAAGCTTCTGGGATAAATGTGACAAAATATTTAACCAATCCTTTTAACAAAATTGGTAGCTTAATTAAATTGGTCGGTTAGGTTGATTAGTTTCTCTGAATGGCCCTAATCTGTGTATGTGAACGGTTTCCTGCTCTTTGTCTCTGTTGTCTTGATTGACTGGGGACCTCTCCAGGGTGTATCCTGTCTGTTATCCAGTCATCTTTTGAAATTGAAACCCTGCAACTATTGATTGATAACCGACGAATAATATGGACAGAGGGATTCAGTGAATGGATACAAAATAGGCACACTTTCCATTGCTGGCAATGCATGCTTCTATATTTGCATCGAATTTAAAAGATACAGAATGGCAAATCATCTCTAAACTGTATTTTCCCAGATTTCTTTATCTTTGCTTACCCACCCAAAATTGATTTTTGTATTTGTCCCATATAGATGTCTGAACTTTTAACTTCTGTATAAGAATGAAATAACATACATGCTGTCAGATCCATTTAATGGGAGGTGAAGTATCTGTGAACAGTATCCCATTCTTTAACCATATGGTTTAAAGTTATTTCACCCTGTGAAGCTGCTGGGGGGACTTTCCATTTGGATGTGGGTGCATTTATGGGGTTGAAGCACAGGTCAAACATTGTTGTTAAACAATATGGCATTTCCTCTAATGAAGGGAGTCTTGAATCTGAAGCTTTGTAATGTATTCACTCATGTGAGGTTTGGGTGTAGCTGCCCAGCCATAAAAACAAAAACAAAAAAACAATTTCCCAAATGTCCGTATTGCTCTTGAACTGAAAGACATCTGAAGCGTAAAGACGAGACACTATGTGTCACAGCATCCCCTGACCTTGTTCTGTATTTTTATGTGAATTTCAAGTAGTTGTCTTTCCAAACAAGCTGTACCATAAATAATTGTATGTGCTCTTTTTTTTTATTCCTTTTTGTTTAAAAACTGTCTCAGAGCTCATTGGTGCACAATTTCTTTCTAGGCCAAGCCACCTATGGAGCTAATTTACCATTATCTTTTAACATAGAAAGTATTTATGGATTCATGCTTCTATGTTACTTTTGTCAACGTCGGTCTCCTTCAATCCCCAATCAGCCTTTGCAGAAGGCAGCTCAAATCGAGCCTTGTGCTGGAGGTTTCTTCCTGTTAAAAGGGAGTTTTTGCTCCCCACAATTGCTGCATGCTTACTACCTAGATGTCTAAAGTTGTAAAATGGTCCTTCAGGAGGAGCAAATCCTACAAATTCAAATTACTTAGAATTTGTTTTGCCATTATGACTTTATGATCTGACCAAAGTGCCTCTGTGAAGTCCACTGACATGACATGTGTTGTGAAATGGTATTATTTAGAAAAAAAATGATTAAATCACTTGCTTTAAAGAGAAGCTTTCAGTCAAAGCTTAAAGTGGTATGGAATCGGCTGTTCCAACCGTTTCATTTCCTAATTCTCCCGAGTAGTGCCCGACTTTACACGAGTGAAAAAAAGTGAATGTAATTGGTCGTTTATCAAGGGGGCGGGGTTGTTGTGTTGTGGAAGGTTCACAAGCAAGTTTGATTGTGGCCAAATTCTTAGAAGCATCTTGCTAACCAGTTAGCAACTTAGTGTTAGTAGGTTCCCACGGGAAATTACATTGGGACTAAGTAGCACTAAATTGGTGACTTAGAAACGACACTGTCAAGGAATGCTGCCAGTTCTGTTAGCTCTACGCCTGCCGAAGACACAGACGTCCATCCCCGTGAACACTGGGATGGAACTCAATGGTAAAGTAAATTATTCTTATTTCTTATTTCAACTGTTCAACCGACAGAAAAAATTTGATTGACAGATGACCATTGATATATGATTGGCCGGATTTAGGTGTACAAGCTGAGGTATAACTAACTGGCCTGCATAATATAACGGAGAAAAAAAAACCAACACAGATTTTAAGATAGGATTTTTTTATATATAGAAATGTTCTAACTTTTGGGACAACATTGTCTGATAAAGAGCACATTTATATACATGTTTAAGCCAGAATAATTTGACATTTAAATATGACTTCCCTACGACTTTAACTAAAATGCACTGAATCAGTTTAACCCTTAAAATCATCATTTAGAGCTGATTCAAAACCTATTCTGAGGTTAATTAAATGTGAACTCATTTCTATTAACCCCCATAGAAAAGATATTTTAGTCACCTTATGATAGTTGGATATACCACTACATATAGACAAACCAAACAACAAAAAAGATGTTAGATATGTCATTAATATTGGTTCCAGTTTCTCCCTCAGATCAGCCTTCAATTCCCCATCCCCACTAGTGCTGACTAACTGGCAGGGATCTCAATCGGCTCACAGATAGCAACGGCGATCCTTTCAGCACTTCACAGTTGCTTTGTGTGTTTCAATGTGCATGTGTGGGCGGGACTAAAGGAAAGCTCCCCTCCGCCACAGCAACGTGCAGGAGGGGGGGTTCAAAGCATCCTCGCTGATAAGGTTTTCTTTTTCTTATCTCTCCTCGTCCTGTGGCTGAAGCAGATGTAGACGGGAGGGATCCTGAGGTGGCACGGTGGGTTCGCCTTTCTTTTTTCATTATATTTGTGCTATGTGTGTGCATTTAGCCAAGGATTAGAAAAGAAATAATCACAAGCGGATTGTGGACGGTCCACCCTTATGCAGAGGGGCTTATGTCCAATCCGGTGCTGAAGTCAGAAAAAGTGTGCAGGAGGATTCCGATAGGCTTTCATACTGAAGATGGATTTGGCACAATCGGGATAATAAAATGAACGACCGATTGATGAGTTATTACTCAACGTGTCTGTGCATCAGGGAATGTCACCAGAGAACAATTGACTTTAGCTTAAGCTCTGGTTAAACGTGGTATCCTCTCCTAATTGGATAGGAAGGCTTTAGGCTGATCACCTAGATCAAGCGCATTTCAGAAAGCATCAGTGGATTTCTTATAAATTACCCTATCAGCTTTAAAGCGGTTTTTCATTCGGAGTAATAAACACATGCACTTTGCTCCACTTTAATAGAATAAATCCCAATTTTTAGCCTGTGGCCCTAAAACAGATCTCAAATGAAGGCTAATCTAATTAGGCTGTGATGTTAAACTCTGAGCCGGCGTGTGTGTCCACTTAGGGATGCTGTGGAGAAGAGACTCCGTGGGAGGAAGCCTCAAAGTGAACCAGAGGGCGGCAAAACACAAATGGCTTCCCCGAAGCTGCTTCCCATCGAGGATGGACGCAAACAGTCCGCATTGAATCCAGATGGAATTGACCGAGTTTCCGTCCGGAAGTCAGCGGGTTCCACAGGAGAGGGTGTCCCAGTCCGCAGCAGCCGCAAGTGCCTTTCAGCACCGAGGACAGCGCCGCGCAGGGCGTGTGCAGAGGGGAAACTCTGCCCTCCCGGCGAGGAGAAAATACGAGTTTGCTGCGACGAGGAGTTGGAGACTTCATTTACTTTTATTGATGAAAACGTAAACTTGCGATTGGCCAGCCCGGAAACTAGCTGTAAAAGTGCTCATAGGCCCGTGCGCAATGGCGAATCCTGCTCCGAGACTTTGCCTGAGCTCTCCTTCATGTCGGAGGATGACCTGTCCTTCGGCGAGGCCTCAGGGACTGTGGACTACGGCTTTATCAGCGCAGTCACTTTCCTAGTGACAGGGATCTCCCTGGTGATCATCTCCTATGCTGTGCCCCGGGATGTGGAGGTGGACCGCGACAGCGTTTCGGCCAGGGAGATGGAGCGACTCGAGATGGAAAGCGCCCGGATAGGTGCCCATTTGGACCGCTGTGTGATTGCGGGGCTCTGCTTGCTGACTCTGGGTGGCGTCGTGCTCTCCACGCTGCTCATGATCTCCATGTGGAAAGGGGAGATGTACAGGAGGAAGCTTGCAGCGTACTCCAAACGCTCAGCTAAACTTTATGGCTCAATCAGCCTGAAGACAAGATCCAGTCCCAGCCACTCGTCTGCGCGCTTGTCCTTGGAGGAGGAGATGGACGTGGAGACTTTGGCTTAAGCTCTAGCTCTACGTAGAAACATTTATTTTCAAACAGATTAATGTCCGTTACGCACCTCTTAAAACAGCTTAACCATGTGAGACCCAAAATGGTAAATGAACTGAAAAATGCGCCACAAATGGGATGTGTGGGTTACATTTACCCTTTATAACTGCCATTTTGAGATGAGATTGAAACAGAGAAAAGTCCTAAAAGTGCTAGTTTTTTTTTTTTTTTTTTTTTTTTACTGAGCACCTATTACCCATCCACACTGAGCAAAGCCGTCAAGGTTTTCCAGGGAATTTAAACAGCTTGCATTGATTTTTCATGTAATTTTTACCTGTTTTAACTCCAGGTGTAAAGGACGGGGGCGATCAAAGGTACTTTATTAAGCTGGGGGGAGAATCTTGGACTAATTAACCCCATCAATATGTATATGTTGGCAACTCATTGTCTTTGCTCATGCTAGAAGGGCAGTAAGTTTTTGAATTGAGAAAGCTTCCTGGAGGGGAATTAAAAGTTTTGGTGAGTAGATTTGAGCAAAAGTTTATTAAAAAACATATCTCAAACAAATTTAAAGTAATTTGTCTTTTAATCTGTTGGGGGTTTGAATTATTATAAATATGCCAACTCTACTGCGATGGACTGGCTACCTGTCCAGGGTGTACCCCGCCTCTCGCCCATTGTCTGCTGGAGATAGGCACCAGCACCCCTCGCGACAAGCGTGTCAGATAATGAGATGGATGGATGGATGGATGGATGGATGGATGGATGGATGGATGGATGGATGGATGGATGGATGGATGGATGGATGGATGGATGGATGGATGGATGGATGGATGGATGGATGGATGGATGGATGGATGCTAACTCTAATTTTTGATCTAGGTTAATAGCAATACAACCATCTCACAACAACACAAAGTTTTAGCGATTTTTTTTTTCAAGGAACTGATAATCTGCTTTTTTTTTTTCAAATATTACAGCCCAGATTTGACTTGTTCTCATCTTGTATTTTTTTCATGCTTTTTTCCTAATTTGAAGGTATTCTTAATGCCAAAAATTGATTAACATTGTTTTTACAAACAAATAAATGTTTCAGAAATCCCATACCATCTGCCCAATGTAATGAAAGTCATATTTTAAAAATTTAGATGGTTTTTTTTTTTGTTTTTTTTTTATTGAAACAGCTGTATGTCAAAAGTCATTTAAGAGCCATGAACTTGTCCTATCTTTAACTCCTATATTATGCTCTAAAGCTGATGCTACCTTCAGATTTGTTGGTTACAAATGGTGCTTTCTAATCATATGTTGTCCATTGCTCTCTAGCTGTCTCTTTGTAAACACACAGTATTTCAGTTTAACCTAGTGTAATTATATAGCACTAATTCACAACATCTCACACCACAAAAGCTTTGCAGAGATAATTAAATCAAACCATGCAGACAGATTAGTTACACATTTTGTATGTAAGGAAACCCGGTTGACTGCAATGAGTAATTGGCCAATCCAGTGGTAGGGAACAAAGCCACCTTAGAACTGAAGAAGCCTCTTTGATAAGAGGTAAAACATATTTCAAGCTTGACCATGACGTGGATGACCGAGAATCTTCACTGAAATGAGTCATTGACTCAGCAGAATTTGCTCCTCCGGGATGAGCATGTGGTGACAGCAGACATTCCCTTGCATTGTGTTGGCTCTGCAATAATCCCTCACACCAAGCATGCATGGAGCCACAATGGAGAGGAAAAACTCCCAGAAAGAAACCGCCAAGAGAACCAGGCTCATTGTGAGCGGCCTTAAAGTGTACTCCATTTATATTATTTTGACTGTGAAGAAATGTATTTCAGATATTGTAAATACATATTCAGCCAAACTGATAAATGTTAAAACGGCCACCTAAAATGTGTATAATTCGTACTGGTATAATTTTGTTTTTCGTCAAATTCAGTTTCTGCTGAAAAAATGCAATTTAGAAAATATTACAGTTCAGCCTAGAAGTGTGATTTTGATCAGGAAGAGTCTTATTTCAATGACCTACAATTGGAGCAACAGAGGAGAGTGCTTTTAATAAATGTAAAAACAGCCTGCCATAGACATTATTTAAAGCAATAATCTTATCCTTCGCCATCTTCCTCTTCTTTACAACTGTAGTGCTGTTTCTTTGTCTTTTAGACATATTCTCCATTTTTTTCATCTCTTTAATCTCTCTTTCTAAAATCTCTAGTTCCAGTGGGGTGAAATAGGCACTTTCTGTTGCCTGTTGTCATGGTGACTCGTCGATTCTGCGCTCCACTGATGATGTCTTTTTAAACTTGTCAATCACGTGTTAAAATCTGAGTGGACCTACTTAGAGTTGACTGAACTAATTCATAGCAGCTGTTGTGAAACCGAAGACTCAGGGTTCCTGACTTTAAGATAGATCAATTTAGAGTTGCTGATTTGAATCTGAGTTTGTTAAACCTGCTTCATGACACAGACCACTGATCAAGTCAAGGACTACATTTGGTTATACTTATAGTACTTTCAAACTCTGGGGGGTCAAGCTCAAAGCACTCAGCTTGACATCCAGGGTCTTGATAGAGGTGTTCTATTAAACAAAATCCATAATCAAAAATAAATAAATAACTAGTGTATTTCCATACAGACTTCACTTTCACAAGAAATATTATAACAATTCACAGACACAAGATCTTGTATCACATGACGTTTTGACACCCTCAGTAAGTAATCCCAAGTAATCCCACTTCTCCTTTGAAAATTGCTTCTGATGCCTTTTTCTCAGCTAAATTGACGTTTTTATGCACAATATAAAGGACATTTTGTAAAAAATGACAAATGAAGGTTGTTTGTAAACAATGTGAAGCACTGAGTCTGCATTAAAATGCTGGAGTCTGGAAAATTATCTCAGATCAAATGGGTCATTACTAAAATGTAATCTTTTAATGATTGGAATTTAAAAATGTGAGTTTCAGGAAAACATGGTTATGTTCACTATTACCTCACTAGTAGACCATTAAATCTCAGAACCTCAGTCCACAAATATACAACTATGTTCAGGGACCCCATAAACCTTCTATTATTTCTGCATGTAGCTTACAAATGTACATTACTTAGTCTTTTGTGCATCAGCAAAAATAACTTAAAAAAAAGAAATATAAGACACATTTAAATTAAATATTATTCAAATACAATCCAAGCAAACCACTCAGGGATTTCTGTGACCAACACTGGGCCTTTATTTATAAGAGTCATTCATTTTTAATGTGAAGGTCTCCAGCAATGAAATGGCACAGGGTCACATTTCAGGAAGAATATTTTTGTCCCACGGGCAAATGAGTGAAGGAAAAGGGAGGTATGTAGAGCTGCTCCTGATTACTGTGAAGGAGGAGAAAACACATGGTACTATTCAATGAAAGTGAAAGTGATTATTTTGGTGAACCTGGCTTGATGTTTGTGCACCAGAGACAAACACTAAGCATTTTGACTCCCTATGATAATGCTGACATCCAACTGATCATTCCTGCCATTCTTTCCTGCCTTACCTTTGCAGCTGGAGACATTGCATTGCTTTACAAAAATCCAACTTTTGCTGGCTTCGCTTCATATTACAAATTAGATGTGTTTTGTGAAGATTTAAAACAACATAAACCCAAGTGTCTGTATTTTTCATTGTTGATCAACTTTTTTTGCATATTAGCCAGCTTTTTTTTATCCCTTCCTTAAAGATTTAAGGGCGACTAATAACACATGAAAGAGCTGTCCTACTTTCAAAACCCTAAGCTGCTGAGACTTCAAAGAGACAATTATCTGTTTAATGTGGGATTTCATTATATATAAATCCTTACGTTTGGTATGATCCGAGTGATCAAATCATAGGGGAGAAACACAGAAACTTGGACTCAGCTGTTTAGTAGGCATTAACTTACATTTTAAAATCAGCTCCCAACTTCCTTGTCCAAGATTATAATATTTATAAGAAAAAGTCATATTCCTGTGTAATGGGAACAGTTATTTGACATTATTCTCTTCACAGGGCTGTTTTGTGCTAACCTGTCTTATAAAACGTATATGATTTCTGTATCCAGATGGTTTTTGACATTGGATGCATTTTTATGGCCCTTGGTTAGGAAAATTGTTATAAAGTTTAATTTCTTAGGCTTGTTACATACTCTGCTGGAACCAACAATTTGTTATTGTTCTTGAGGTGGCAAGAAAGAGAAAATAATTGGTTTAGCATCGGAATATGCATACTTTAAAAGAAGCTCATTTGCAGAAGTCAAATCCCCTGTAGTTCATATCGCACCTGCAAAAGACCGATATAACAAGCTTTATTTAGAACACCATAAGGTCTTTTAATTGTGTATTTGAACGTCCAGTCAATAAGAAATGAATGCCCACCGATTAAATGCACAGAATAAGCTCTGTAAAAGAATATATTATGGCCATTTACCACAGCTGGCTAATAAATATAGCATACTAGACTTATTAGCTGAGTTTTGATGAGGTGGTACTGTAGGTGAAGCATCTAATAACACATTTTCCATATTAGATTTTAAGGCTCATGTTATTTTAAAATAAGCAAAAGCCAGAGCTGCATTCCTGAATGTGCCTCAAGTAGCAGGCTATAGGAATCCCAGCAGGGATATATGCTCCTGTTGAAAAATATTGCTCATTGAATTAATTGAAACAGCAGGTTTGAAAATCCAGTAAAGTATATGAGATGTTTGGAAGCCTATAAATGAGGGTGTGATAAAAGAGTCGCAGCGTCTCTACTAGGGGTGGGTATTGGCAAAGAAGTCATAATTCGATTCAAATCACGATTCACATGCCACGATGCGATTCTATCACGATGCATCACGATACTTGAAATATTGCGATATTTTCACTGAACACTGTAAGACAAAGATCCAGCCCTTACCAGTGGCTGACTGTGATCTGGATCGTGTCTTCAATTGATGCATAACTGAAAGCAACTGAATTCATACATAGCTGTATTTATTGAAACGACTTTTGGAGGTTTTGCCATGGAAACAAATACTGGACACAAATATTACTATTACTAGCGTGGACTCACTGACAAAAAGATCTTAGGATTCATAAAACTTAAAATAACGAAACAAGGATATTCAGTGCCGTTTACATGGCCTCAGTGGTCCTTTTGCAAATTACGTGCATCCTATCAATTTCCTTTTTACCTTCTTTGTTTTTAAAGCCAAAATGCATCCAAGCGGGGCGAATTTCCTCAGTGTCCTCCATGTTTTGTTTACGAATGACTCGTCTCAGTATCCCGCGGCCGGAAATACTTGTGACACAAAGCACAGGGCGTCAACACATCCGCAGCGACATCTGCTGGACTGGAAGTTGTATTCCACTTGATTTTGCTGATGTGCGCCAACCATTCATGTATTGTATTTGTTCTTTTTTTTTTTATAATCGATTCATGCCTTCAAGAATCGATGCAGTAGATCACAAAAATTAGAATCGCGATGCATCGTCATGATGATTATTTTGCACACCCTTAGTCTCTACAGTAGACAACATTAGCTCCTTTTAGGTCCACCAGCTTGTAACTAGTGATGCGGGTCTGATTAAAATGAAATCTTTCTTTCTTTCGCAAATCATACTTTAACAGCTTAAAGGTGAGAAACCAATAATACAGCCCACTATATAAGGTATACTGTGCCTTTCAACCCAGGCGATACACATCAGTCCACCAG